GATTTTGTTGAAAAATTTGTATATCTTTATCGACATCTATTATTTCATCTAATTGTTGGTTGTTTTCTTCTTTAGTTTTTTTATTTAATATTCTCGATATAAAATTATTAATTATGCAATTTCAGGAGTAGCTTAGTCTAGGTCTTTCTGGTCCTTCTTCATTTCTTGATCGAGCTGAAAAATGTTCATTTCTTCTGTTTCTTTATTGTTTTTTCTCTTTTTGGCGTGATTTCTATTTTAGCTAATTTTTCTATTAATTTCTCTTCCTCTGTTATACTTTTACTTTCTTTTTTTTTCTTTAAGATTTTTTATCTATTTTGTTATTTATTTGTAATACTACTAGATAGAGGTGGCCCGTGCTTGCACGGGCCCAACGTTGGAAGATTTTTATTAGTTGGATCTAAACATATAGAAATGTATGAGCCGGCTAAATGTACATATGTAGATACATAGATATATAGAGATAGCTAGATATTGTAAATATAGTTGGCAATTCTTTAGTTGCTTTTCTGGCTGTATTATTTAGATATTTACATCCTACTATATATACATAGTGCTGCCTTTTGGCTGCTTTTCAGAGTTGGGCAGCTCCAGATAAAAATCATCTGTGATATAAGAGGAAAAATGAATTTAGTACAACTTAAAAGTGATTTTAAGAATGAATTTAGTATAGTAAATGTGGCTCACTGCATCAACAATTCTAAAATTTATTAGTGAATGGAGTATTTCAGAATTAAAGACAGCATGTAAGATCAAAATATAGTATAATCATTATGGGTTGTACCTGAGAATTTTGAAGAAGTAGGCAACAAAAGTTTACGCCATCAACATCAGAAGAGCCATCAACATTTGAAGGCATCAATTGTTGTAGAAATAGAATGACAAATGAATGTAGTTTGATTAATTAGAGTTAGATCAGGATTCTAGTTAACAAGCCCTATTTTTGGGGTATTAAAACAACATAAACGACTGAATGTGTATTTGCATTCGATGGTAGTATGAATCAAGTAAAAATAAATTGTGAAGATAATACCTTTCAGTCTTCCTCCATCATGATCTGGTATAACTTGCGTTTGCTTCTTTCTAGAGTTTCTGGTGCAGTGAATGGCAATAAGTGATTTCTATCAGTATTGTCCTCCCTAACAATTTACAAGAGATTTCATTTATTCTATTATCTCTAAGCACCGGTCCTCCCTGCACCTAAGATCAAATTTAACGATTGAATTTAGTTATATCAAATATCTGACTAAAAAGTTTTGAGCTTCATATGTGCATCCTCTTGGAAATCAAAGTGTGAGAAAACTTTCTTTAATATATAGTTTTGTAAAACTCCAAGCCTCATGATAAGGAAGTTTGCAACTTTAAAGTAACTAAGGTTATAAAAATAAGTTCAAAATTTAAAGTAACTAAGGTCAATTTCGGTCCATATGTTCATATTTTACCTATCATAAATATCAATGACCTTGACAATATGATCCAAAGAAAAGAAAACAAATGAAAATCAAGATTGTTGAGAACAGAAGAGAGGTCTAATAACCGCCAAATTGGGGTGGGTGGGGGGAAGCTGAAGTTAGGAGGCACAACAATAGTTCTTTTGAGGTTGTTGTTTTTAATTTTTCACATCTACATCTAGTAGATTAGGTGGTCATATGTTCTCTTAATAACTACTTAAATACCTTAAAAGAGTAACGCTAAAGATACCAACAAACTTCCATTTTTAAGAAGATAAAAATGACACTAAAGATGAACTATTTTGTGCACTTTTTAATTAAGAAGCAATCACTGTAATAAGAACAAAGGGACACAAATCAAAAGAGCCAAATTAGGAGAAGGCAATTGCAGCTTCTTTAGAGGCCTTCACAAAGAATACAATATTCTCTTTTGTTCGATTACAACCGAAGTTAAATATTGCTGAAAAATTTCAGTAATCACAACATTACCAACTACCTTTGCGCAAGAAAGATTCCTTAAGTGAAGACTTGCTATCTTCTGCAACTAAGTATGTCCAGCCATATAATCGAAATAGTTACCATAACTATTCATGATAGTAAAACATTTGGGTTCAACTATATATGATACTCATAACATATCAATTAATCGATCAACTATTCTATAAAGCTTGTAAACTACAAGGGCATGTCTAGTTAGATTACTCAAATCTTAATGAAAATAAAGAGAAACAACTTAAATGATGATTTAGTCCAATATGAAATATGTTTTAAACGATAAAAATGATGAACAATAGTTTGTTAATTACTCTCTTTGAATGGTTATTACATATTGTCTCATAATATATTGAGGTTATATGTTATATATTGTAAAACTTTTTGTCTGTACATAATGTCATATATCTTCAATGTGAAGAACAAATTTTCACTCAACAAACTCATTATGGTATGATTATTCAATAGAAATGAATGACCAATTATAATTTATAAATTGAAGATAAAACAGTTGGTATATAGCTACAAAGAAAAAGTTGGTTGCTTGACTTTTTCTATCAAATATTGATTGATTTACATGGTTAGACAGTAAAATTGTACCAACTGATAATCAATGATGATGAAATCTTGAATTTTGCTTCCATTTGAAGCTTATGATGGAGGGCTACGAGGGGAAAAACATCTTGCAGTAAGTAAGGAGTTGTTAATAAGTTAGAATAGCTACGGAAAATGGGTAATATGTGTGTCAAGTATAGTATAGAAAAATGTTAAGAGATGCCGAACTCAAAGCATATAGCTTGATAGACGAAACTGTGAAACGATGTAACATTTAGTTGTATTGGTGAAAACAATGGTGTTTCGGGGGTATAACCTCTTTTACTGGTTCAACAATTGTGCCCTAATCGATCGTCTAGGTGAAATCATGAACATGAGTTCCACATGCCTTCGTTGATTCTTGGACATGTCCATCGACACCAAGTGTGTTTGGAACGGAACAAACTCTTTTCATAATGTGTGATAATTGTACCGTTCTTAACAACTTGCAGTTGAATTTCCTATCAGAAAATTAATAGAGTTAGGAAGATATAACGTAACATAAATAATAAATAGTTGGTATAGACTTTCAAAAGTTTGAATTTCTAAAAAAAATAATATTTCATATATATATATATATATATATATATATATATATATATATATATATATAATTTAAAGCACATGATCAGGGGTCTTTTGGAGGTATCATTTGTAAGGGCAGAACATATCAACATAAATTTTGAAATAATAGTCACCCTTAAATCATATGTAATCAAGACGTTGAATATTTCAAGTGGTAGTTTCTCAAGCAGGAACGACTTAAATGTAGGAAGAAAAAGAGATGAAGGGAGATCCATTGTATTTGTATTTTAGACACTACGTTCTACATCAGCATTGCATATCTATCGCAACTCCAATAATAAAAAAGGCAGATGTGTTTAACAAAGCAATGTCCTTGATAAAAGAGTGTCTTTTAACTTCTCTTACTATTCCACATGAATTTACACAAGCATAACATCACTAATTCTAATGATGAAACGAAGATTGTTACGTGTTTTTGAATAAATTTGAATCAAGTAAATCAGATAGATTTCATGAGGTAAGTAACTTAATTTATTCTAATGTATAATAACCTCTAATTCATTAGAACTTGCTAGTTTTTCTTTTTCTTTTTATCATACAAAAAATCAATCTAACAAAATATACTTTCAAAAAAAAATGTTATGTGTACACTACATCTACCTCTAAAAAACTATAGAATCAAAATGTGTGTAGTTAGATTAAACAAATTATTAACAAAATTTAACTCGCATACGCATAAAATGCATTAACTTTATAAGCATTATTATAATAAACACCAAGTAAAGCAGCAACATGAACCTAAAATTGCTATCTTTTAACAGGCTCTCGGGGAGAAAGTAAATCAATACAAAAGCTAATTATATTAACTCTCTCAAACAAAAGGATAGAATGGTCCTAAACAAGGTTAAAGCAGAGTTAATAATTTATCACAAAATGGTTGGTAGTTTCTAGAAACAAAAACAGAAGCAAAAAGTCAACTTTAAATGGCAACTTGAGGGGGATGGAAATACCATGTTCTTTCACAGCAAGTTAGAGGAATAAGGAAGATATTACATATCCATAGAGTCAATGTGAATGATAAGTGGATTGAAGGAGATGATAACATATGACAAGCTACAGGGTATTACTGTCAAGATTTTTTCAACAAAGGAAACAACAATATTGCTGGCCCTGATGGTTTCAACACCTTGTTCTAGTACATTATTGGCGTTGATATGGTTTAATTAGTGAAGGTTGTGTTCAATGGAAAGCAGATGCCTATGTTTTTAACCAGTAATTGCCTAGTTCTAATACCTAAAGTTGACTCACCTCAATTTTTTCCTGAGTTCAGACCTATCAGCCTCAATAATGTTTCCCAGAAAATTGTTCCTAAAGTGATGAATGATAGACTTTCCAAACTTTTGCCGGCTATTATATCTCTAAACAAAAGTGACTCAAATTACTTTATATATGGACACTTTCATCTAGTTATTGTTGATATTACCATCACAATGTTACTGTCGGATCAATATCTGAAAACTCAAAAGATCATCAATAAAAGCTTCTTTGTATTAAGAACAATAAATAATATAATATTATTTTGTAAATTCATTTCCGTAAAGACTCGTGATCTAGGAAAGGACTTTGATACAGACTTTATCAGATTTTTTCAATGTATATGGCATCCAATGTTATAGTGGTCGAGTTTGGATATAACCATAGTGAGATATACAAGTCTGAAGATAGCTGACTGACTGGGAGGTGGGTAGATTTTGAGCTAAAGCAAATGTTGAAGAATTTAAACAAATTATTACATACCATAAAATATATGCTGGAAACAGGATACAGATGGAACGTTTTCAATTAGTAAAGTCAACAAGCAGGACTATGAAATGCGACCTTGGAGAAAGTTAATCAGTTGAAAACAAATTTAGAGAAGTAAGACATGCAGAAGCGAGGTTCAAGATGTATCTATTTTTATATGATATAACCTCTTAGATGGTATCTTCTTTTAGTCTACTAAACTATCACAAAATGAGGGCATGTTCCTGAATATACAGAGAATTGAGATTCAATGAGCCCAGATGTAAAAAGGTTGTTTAACCCTTCTACTTCTTAGCAATCAAAACAGAATGAAATTTAACATAAGTGAATGAAGTTAGATTAGAGCCAACAAAAAGGAAATTAAAAATGGTATGCTACGTAATCATTTGACGACAAGATGATATGTATGAGTGAATGATTATTTAAATTCCAATAGCAAATATCACTTCATCTTGTAATGCCATCAGTTGATATTTCTTGTTTCCCTCTTTTTTGGTTAGGGAAGGGCCTTTATCTACCAGGTGGACTTTACAAGTCTACTCATGTGTGGCCATGGTGATTTTGTTGATAGTAAATCGTTCTGTCTTAAAAAAAGGTTGTTGGCTGGATCCTCCGACCCGTATGGCCCTTTATCTTACCTTAAATGCAGAAACATAAGCCTACATCATTAACAGAGGAAGAATGACATCAAGTAGAAGGATATAACTAATTCTAGTAGATGTGGTTGGAGATTCTTAACTTCACGCTACAAATGAAAATAATTATAAAACGTCAACGAAATAATAGGAAGAAACTTTATGCTAAACCCACATAGAAAAGGCGAGACAACGAAAAAATATTGAAGCTTTAAATCATCAACAACAAAAAATTATCGAAATAAAAGACAAATTTGGAGACATCGAGATGAGATGTTTATTGACGGAAGATAAATATCTAACAACTTGATTTCAAATTCAGATACCTAGTTATCGTTATTGATGCTAATGCAAAACACAAGTAACAAAGAATTAATGTTAATGCAAAACATAAATAACTAAAATCTCATAGAAAATTTTGTAGATTCGAATCAAAGCCATAGCCAAAAGTGACAATTCAGAAACTCAAGAAAATCAACATTTTGAGATTTATTCTCAGCCATTCTAATCTCGCCCAATCAGAATAAAAAAAAGATCGAAGAATAAAAGAAAATTTGAACCCGTAATTATTAGTATCTACTAAGCAAATAAAAAGATCGAAGCAAAGTTATTGAAAACCAATCAGCCAATAACTTCAGAAAATTTTGTACATTCAGAGCGAAGCTATAGTCAGAAGTGACAGTTGGAGAAATTCCAAAAACTCAAAATTATTTTATCAAATTACTGCATGCAAGAAAACAAAACAAAAATCTATGAATAACTGAGGAACAATATCCTCACAATCCAAAAAGAACAAGGCAAACAAATTCACACGGAAATTGAAAGTACAACGATTTAAATTACTGGGGCTTTCAAAGCAATAGGAATATCGAACATCAATAACAAATCCAAGTGAAAAAAGAAGAAAATATTGACACACCCAGATCAAATTTGGTCAAAGGAAGATAAAATGGAGAAACATTTCCAAAATTCAATTTTTGGGGGCATAAAGATGACACAAAAAATTGAAGAAAACATGAAGGATCCTTACCTGGATAGAATGGTAGAGAAAGGAGAAGACCTTTGATGTGCACTGAGATAAACGATGAAGACAACTAAAGAGGAACGTCTAAAATTGAAAACACAGCAATAAGACACGTAGTAACAATTTAGAATTGAAAAGACTAAAATGCCCCTAGACTTGTGTAACAGGCATGTTGAAACAAGTCTCTTCTATTATAGTAGAAAAGAAAAAATAATGTTATTATTATATTATTTTATTTTATGATAACTTGATCTGATTTTGAAGATGGATTAACTTCTTTGTAATCTGTTGGAAGAGATATTCTTTTTTCTATTAACGTAGTAGATTCTTTGTGTGACTCAGTTTCTACTAAGTCTATCATGAAATAACTATTTCTTTTAATAATGTTAATTCTTTTTTTATCTCTTGTAGTCTTATAATTAATGAATTATTAACTTTTTCTTTTTGTTTGTTTTTTTAGTTCGCTTAATTTATTATTTAAATTCAATTTCTTGTTCCTTAATATAATCTAAATTACCCTCTATTTTGTTGAAAAACTGTTTTTGTCTATTTAGAGTTTCTTCTTGTTCACCTAGTAATTCTGTAATTGTATTATTATGTTCTCTAGTATTTTCGCTAAAATTTATTATTAATTCTATTAGGGTATTATATTGAGAGTCTTTTGTAGTGTGTAAATTGTGTCCTCCGTTTTCAAAATTACACTTTATTACACTATCATCTTTTAGACTTTTAAATTTCTTTTCTACATTTATATGTAAATCTAAATATTCTAGGTTTTTTTGAGAAGCTATTTTTACTATAGTTTATCCTAGTTGTTATTTTACATTGTTCCCTGTAGTCTTTTATTCTTTTAGTAAAAATGTAGACTTTATTTCTAATTCCTCGAATTCCCACTTTAAAGCTCTTATACATTTTAATTAACATATCTTTGTAAATAAAAATTTTCTGGTATATTGATCTTCGTATATATTTAAGTATTCTATTATAGCTTTTTCTATTTTTTGTAATCTTTGTTTTTCTTTTATTTGTCTATATAAATACCAATAATTTATTCTTATTCTTTTAGTAAAATGATGTTTTCTCATAGAACTTGTTGCCTCTAATCTGGATATTTCTTGATCTAAGGTGTCTTAATAACTTGTATTTTGATTTTTTAATTGAAAATGATAGGTTGTTTAGTTTCTGGCTATTAACTAATTTTATTTCCTCTAAATATTTTATATACTCGAAATATAAACTTAAGAATTCTTGTTTAACCTTATGATATTCTTTAGTATTTTTATGGGGTCTTCTCATATATATTTATCCTATAGAACTATTGTAAAAGGAACTATTTTTTAAATATTTTATCCGTGCTATAATTTCTCTAATTTCTTTATTTACGTGATCTATCTCTAAACTAACTTTACTTATTTCTTGTCTTACTGCTATCTGAAGTATTTTTAACGAAAATTTATATAAATATGTTAAAGATAATCGTAACTCTAAAGTAGACAGATGATTTTCTAGTAATTTTTTATGATTTTAATAATTTTAAATATTTTCTTTCAGAAATTAGATTTTTATTTAGGGCAATTATTGTTTTAAAATATATATGTCTTTTCATATACAAATATAGGTCTTTTTGGACAACCTTGCTCTGATACCAATATATAGTGGTTCGTTATTTCAATATAACAGGGGATTATTTCAATATTTAATTAAAAAATTTGTTGTGAAGTCCTAGTCAGTACTCTTCACTCCCTTGTTCTTTATGTAATTATCAATATAAGTTTCTAGTATTCTTCCTTTTTTTTTTATTTATGGACTATGTCCATTAATGAATCTATTATTACTGTTCATTTCTTCCTCTAAAATTTTGTTCCTAATTGCAGTCTTCTTTAACCACACCCCGGATATGGTCATTCATAGTTCTATTTTAAGAACATTCAACATGATCTATCAGATTCCTAGAAATTTACAGGTTAATCCATCGATGCTTTTTAAGCGCTAAGAGACTAATCATATATTGAGTAACATAAATTCGTGTTAAAGAAAGCTATTAAACAGTTTTTTACATATCAAAATAAACAAACATAATTTACATATATGAGAAGTTACTAGATCTTAAATATGAAAACTTACATAATTAACGGAGTGAAGTTTCCCTTTAGGTCCTCCTATATGACGTTATCCGAAATTTGAATTTCCTTTTAGTTTATTTATTTTCAAATTAGTCTTATTCTTTTATGAAAAGTTACAATTTTTATGAAAAATTGGACTTTAATGAAAAGTGACGACTTTAATTGAGAGTTGTGAGTTTAATGAAAATTGCGAGTTTTATAAAAGGTTGTGACCTTTCAAAGGGTTGCAACTTTTATAAATAGTTTTAACCTTTCTGATAAGACACAATAATTTTTTTTCACATTATCATTTATTATTTATAAATAGAGGGATTTCCTCTCATTTTAAAACAAAGAAAATTTTAAACCCTCTCTTCTTCTTCTTCACAATTAAATATTTGTATATTTTCCTCCTGTTGAGTGGTTCAATGACAACATTGTTTATGTTACAGATCTTGGTATATATTTTAATAATTATTAATTTAGACATATGTTAATAATGATAAAGTATATAAATGAACGATAGATTTTAAGTATGATTTTATAAATTCTGTGATAGTAAATTTTCACGTGAAGCACGAATAATTTATATATATATATATATATATATATATATATACACACACACCATCATAGAATTTATAAAATCATACTTAAAATCTATCATTCATTTATGGGAAAAAGGTCTGATATACCCCTCAACTTTGTCATTTAGAGCTGATATACCCCTTGTTATAAAAGTGGATCATATACGCCCTTACCGTTATACAAACGGCTCACATATACCCCCTGCCGTTAC